AGGCTTTCAACGTCGGTTTAATAACCGACGTTGTATCAGGCGACGTTGAAAGTTGTAACTTTCAACGTCGGGTCTAATAAACCGACGTTAAAGTTTTTACTTTAGATAGCGGTTATAAGGGAACCGCTATCTAATATAGACTTTAGATAGCGGTTGTAAGGGAACCGCTATCTAATATAGACTTTAGATAGCGGTTATAAGGAAACCGCTATCTAATATAGACTTTCGATAGCGGTTGTAAGGGAACCGTTATCTAATATAGACTTTAGATAGCGGTTATAAGGGAACCGCTATCTAATATATAGTCATAAGTCTACTTTCAACGTCAGTTTATTAGAACCGACGTTGAAAGTATGATTTTTTAAATTAATAATTTTTATTTATTTACAACCCCTTTACCCCCTTTTATTTATCTAGAAGTCTCCCCTCTCTTCATATTATATTTTTATTAGGTCCTCCATCTCTTTATATTATATTTTTTAGAAGTTTTTTAATTTTTAAGAGAATTGTCATTGGCGGGATTCGAACCCAAGTACTTTAGAGTTGGAGGTCGATACTCCAACCACTAAACTACTTGAATTTTTTGATAATAACTTACAAATAAATTATATTTATATACAAATAAATATATATCCGTGTAATTATCACTACTAGAAAAATGTCAAATAGTAACTTCGAATCTCAACCCCGACCTCAACCTCGACGAACTCGAGGCCGAACCCCAACTCCGGCGACATCGAACCCCAATGTCAAGCCAAACCCAATTGTCATGCTCGTGAAACCCAACGCAAACCCAGCGGAGCTCGAACCCTAACGCATACCCTAGTGACGTCGAACTCTAACCTCGAGCCAACCCCCACTTTAATTCGGTCGCAATTAGCGATTGATTGATTGCTCAAGGATGTGTAAAAGATGATATATTCAATGTATGTTAAAAAAGTTCAAGCCAAACTGTTTTTATAGAAGATTTTCAAAACTGCTGGTTTAATTAATCTGTTAAAAGATTCTTTTAATCTGTTAAAAGTGCAGTTTTAATCAGTTAAAACTTCTTTTAATCCATTAATACGTTCTTGATTCTTTAACAGATTTGTTTTAACCGATACGACAACGTTTATATCAATTAAAACACTTTACAAAAAATCTTCTAAGTTGATTTAATCGATTGTTTCGCGATTCAATCGATTGAAATACTCGCAAAACTTTCGCGTGACACTTTTCAAGTAATTTTAACTGATAAAAATAAGTTTTAATCGATTAAAACGTCATGCGTAAATTGTTTTAATCGATTGAAACGAGATTTAATCGATTAAAATAGTTCTGATCGGTCATAACTGCATTCTGATCGATCATAATTGAAACAATATAATAAGCGGTTCCAGATTAACCGCTATCTAAAATGTATCTCGCTTGAGCGACACCCTTCTCGCTCGAGCGAAACGCCTCGCACAAAATTAGCATTCTCGGGTTGTATTTCGCTTGAGCGACACTACCCTCGCTCGAGCGAAATTAGATTCTGATCGATCATAACTTGAAATGATCGATCATAATTGAGAGGATATAATAGCGGTTCCTTTATAACCGCTATCTAAAGTGTATATTAGATAGCGGTTATAAGGGAACCGCTATCTAAAGAGCATATTAGATAGCGATTATAAGGGAACCGCTATCAATAAGTAAAAAATAAAATAAAAAAAGACTTTCAACGTCGGTTCATATGGGAACCGACGTAGAAAGTACTTTCTACGTCGTTTGACTAAGAACCGACGTAGAATGTGACCAACATTCAACTTTCAACGTCGTTTTTTAATCAACCGACGTTGAAAGTGTATTTAACGTCGGCTCAGCTTGAACCGACGTTAAATGACGACGTTGAAAGCATATTTTGTAGTAGTGTAAGCACGTATTTCTAACTTAAGTACAATATCTCAAAATACCAAGCTCACCCTTCTAAATATATTATTATTTGAATAAATAACTTTTCTTACTTATTATTGTTGCCTAATATTTATAGGTATTTGTACAACCTAGATTAAATAGTCTATTTCCAAATTAGGACAACATTCCTATATAACCAAAATAGTTTATTTCAATAACTAGTTTTCTCTTAAATCATCTAACTTTGATTGAGTCATTTTAAAGAATATAAATATTTAGTTTTTTTTTATCATTTTTAGATTTAAATTAAAAAACGTCTTAATATATATTTTTAGAAAAAAAAATTATTTTAGTAAAATAAAACAATTTAACTCTATAAACACAGTTTTTGAAATAATAAACTTATTTTATTATATCAAATTCATACTATTATACTTTAGTTATATTTAAATATATAATAAAACATGTTGTGTAGTTTTTATCATTTTAAAAAAAATCAATAAAATTATTGTGTTATTAAGAAAGCAATAGTTATTTTTTTTAGAAAAAAATATTATACATATTTTAAATAAATAATCAAAATTCTGGTGGGAGAGTTAACCCCCAGTAGATTGGTACTTTCTAGACACAATTTGTTTATATATATATATATATATATATATATATATATATATATATATATATATATATATATATATATATATATATGTTTTGCATATATCTTTTTAGATTTTTTTTTCATATTTAGTTTGCACTCTCATAATAAAGGAACGAGAAAAATGATTGTCGCCGTCGTCCCTTTCGACGTCCGGAGGACGTCTCGAAACGTTTATGCGAGCGGTCGCGAAAAGATGGTTTAGACTCGCGTTTTTGTTTTAAAAGGTTTTCGAAAAGGGGTTCTTATGGAGTCGCCACCAATGTTTTGACCATAAACATTGGAAAAGGAAAAAATGTTGATTTTAAGAAAAACCGCACTTGGCCATTATAACCGGAGTTGGGTAAGGGAGTTAGTTACGTGTGGGGAAGGTATTAGCACCCCACAACGCCCTTTCGGGTTCCCTATGACAGATTAATTCATTTAAATAAAGACTACAAGAAATTACGCGATTACCCTATTTTATTACATAATATTAAATGGCTATCTACATGATTTTATTCTATATTGCATGTATAAAATGATGAATAAAGCTAAATAAAGCAATAAAAGAGATATTAAAATAGCTATCTACATGATCCTATTCTACATGACATAATAAAGCTAAATAAAACAAGAAAACAATAAATAAAACAATAAAAGAGAAGGGAATTGAAAAGAACCTCCGTAGCAAGCTTTATATTGAGAACCTCGAACTGTGAGGATGCGTTTTGGCAACCCCTCTCTCTACACAGTCTCTCCTCACCAATACAAGATCGACTCTACTAAAAATTTAAAGAAGAATCAAATGCCGGAATATAATTCCTTAACCGATTGTTACCTATTTAAGGCAATCGGAAAGATCATTCGAGAGAGAGAGAGAAGTAGACAAGTACTCTAAAGTGTTTCAGAGCTCTCTGGAGTGTCTGTGGTGTGAAAAAGTGGCAAATGAGCCTCCTATTTATAGTTTTTCGCAACTGGCGCACTTTGGGACGGCCGTCCGGGTTGGGACGGCCGTCCGGACTGGGATGGCCGTCCCAAATGGCAAATTTACACGGAGCGGGACCCCCAGGAAGGCCGGGACGGCCGTCCCACTTAAAATGGGTTTGGGACGCGCGTCCCAACTCGGTTTTAAGAGGTTGGGACGGCCGTCCCAAGCTGGGACGGCCGTCTCAACCTGTTCCGCCGGTTCGCGCGTTTCGGGACTCGGGAAGCTTTCCTTGCCTGTTTTGGACGTCAATTGATGCCGATATGTGTCTATTGAAGCTTTATCTCCATATGGGAAGTCTCCTTGGCTCTTATTTGTAATGCTAGACGAGCTTTATCTTGTTACGGGTGATCTCCTTTATCTTTATTTGAGAGGCCGGCAAAATTAGGGGTCTACAATGATATTCATGTGAGAATATAAAAAGTTATTTACTAATGTATATATACATTATTTATTTATATAATTTAATTAAAATCTTAAAAAATATTTCTAAAGGGATTATTTAAATATATTTAATCATAACATTCCTCATCATAATATTGTCTAGAAATATAATTTTTCGAATATAATATGATTATGAAAGATACACAAGTTTAAATAATTCACATGCACCACATGTATATAAATGATTTTTTTTCCCATTTAGAGTTTACACTTAAATTTCATCTTTAAAAATATCATTCTCTATTTTATTTTATATAAATTTGCCTTCTCTATTAAGGTTAATATTTTACTAGACATAAATGTCATGGGAGATAATCTACACCCACTTGGAAGAAGAATTATAGCAGTACCTTAATAAATATAAAAGATTTAACTCATTAATAATTTTGATCTATATATAATTGAGATAAGATTTTCAACATATTTCTTCAATGAGACATATTATGTTAGAAAATAAATTAAATTTATTTTATTTTACAAAATCAACTTTATATATTACAATTTATTTATATTTTTAATTAATATATAATCTCATGTGATATTATCACAATAATTAAAAACAAAGATGAATAATAAAAAAAATATATTGATCATATGATAACTAATTGATATTAAGTAAAATGATCAACAAATATATAAATCATATTTAAATAATTATAGATGACTATGTCAGACTATTCTTGAGATCCTCTGGACTAAGAATAATTGAGACTGAATATGTAAGAGTCTCTTCAACATCCCTTCAACCGAAAAGATACATGTATAAATATTAAGATAACTCTTATATCATTTCAGATTTCAACTTAAAATTAAAGAGGATGAGATGAGATTTTACCAATGGATATATGGAAAATTCTCTTTCATTTGATTCATTCCGTGGGGATAGTTTTCTCTTCCATCAACATACGCTAAACAACCAATTTTTTGCAATGGTCATTAATGGCTGACCAAAGATAAACCACATACAAGTCCATATAGTTAACTTGATCAAAATCAATACTTCACTTCTCTTATGAGTATGCTACACCTCTCCATGACCTAGTCAAGAGGGGAAAGTATTCAAGAGTAAAATTTGTAGGTTTTGGCTTTAATTATGATTGTCCTCAATCCTCCAATAGGTGATAAAATCATCAAGCATAGGCCAAGCAAAATGCAGATCTGTAACATAGGAGCAAGATTATTCTTGGGTGAAAATGAACATTTTTCAAAGGAGACTGAATGTATGAAATCAAAGTTATTTCAAACCTACCCAATTAATGAACCAAGACAAGCTGAATCTCCTTGGTTTGTGGATTACAAGCCACATGATACAGGGGAGCTACAATAAGAAAATAAACAGTTAAACAAAACTATAATAATCTTACAACAACTAAGGTATATTTGAATAAATTTTCCATGAGTAGTTGTAAGTGAAAAAAGCAAGAGAAAATTTATAAATTAACTTACGAATAAATTAATTTTGGTTTATAAGAAAATATTTTATATTTTCTTATTTTATAAAGAAATTATTTCTGAAAGACTCTTAATGAATTAAAGTATATACTTGTTCATAGCTTACAAAGTATGTTGTTGGAGCAAAAGCAAACCCTCCGAAGAATCCCAGGAGACCATCAAAAAATGGGAAAGTAATAGCAATGAACATTGTGAATGCTGAAAAAGAAATGAAAAAGAGTTTATATTAATATCAATGCACATAACCAAATGAAATTGGTAAGAAGTGATACAACAATTTTTACGTACAAATATATACACAAATTCCCAACAACAATGTCAAAAACATGAACATTAAATACATTACATGGTTTGGATTTGAAGTAGTTACTTACCCACATATACATTACGTACAACAAAACGAAGCATTATGCTTGGTTCGAAATTCAATTTCTTGACCATCACAGTTTCAATCATGTCAAACACTGGCATTGCATAAATCTAGATCAACAGTCACAAAAAAGATGATTAGTCACAGATTATTTGGTAATTTCTGAGAAAAGTGTGTTTTATAAATTGAAGTTGTGGACAAGTAAAATGAATGAGAGAAATTCAATTTCACCTGATAGCTTCCAATTACATGAATGACAACAAACAAGTTAGCCATTGCAATAAGCCATGCTGGTTTCTCCAAAGAGATGAGGATGTCAGAATCAACCTCATTGCCAAACATCCAGTAGCCAATAAGAGCAACAGGGAAGTAGCATATAGCCACAACTATGTAGGCAATAACCACTCCTCTCCACATAGGAACCTTGGATGGCTTTTCTGGTGTGGATGGGATTGTGGCTTGGATTTCCAGCACCACATTGTGCCCTGCATAGGCAAAAGCCACACTTCCAAGGGCATTAAAGAAGTTAAACACTGTCCCTGAAGTGCTCTTTGCTTTGTAACCATATTGTACATTTTCTTGAACACCCTTATGTACACTAGCTGCCCAAGCAATTGTAGAGTAACTGTAGGAAAATGGAAACATTGAAGAACAAATTAACATGATGATTTATGTATTTCAGTGTTCTTCTCATTCAACCAACACAATATAAACTGGTTGACAGTGCTCAAAGATGATGTATATAAAGAGCAGCAATGATGACATGTTTTTTAATGTATTTTTAACACTTATGTATTCTATTTTAACTATATTTCTAGAAGACATGATATCTATAACACCACATTTTTTAAAAGTTAGTGGAACTGAGGAAATCATGTTGATGTGATTCCTATTTAATAAGTTTTACTCATGGATTTCATGATCTGCCAATAATTTTTTGTCTATAATAAAGAGTACATTACATAAAAATGAGTGATTAACATTAGATGAGCTTATATAGAATGGAAAGAGACTTGTACCTTAAGGACATGACTGCAGCTGCCAAGGATACACCAGTAATGGAGTTGAAGTCAGGGAGATGGGACAGTACAAAGTGAACAGAGGCAAAAATCATAATGAAGAAGGTTAATTTGATCTTTTTGCAGTTTGAACAGACAGTATCATGGAACTTCTGCAATGATGTTCCCCCAGTGACCATGTACACAATGTTGACACCAATTTCAACCACAAGCTGTTGAGGCACCACAATATAGAGGCCAAGCTTTTCACCAAATGCATACTGACCCAGTTCATGGTACCTGTCAAACCGTTTCCCTGGAACCATTTCATGCATCTCAACCATTTGCCATAATGTGTACAAGGTGATGATCCATGAGAGTATAAGTATTGTCACACCAGGACCCCTGTGCAAGACAAAATTGTGATTCTCAAATTAACACAGGGTTTGAAAATAACATTGTTTTATCTTTTAGGAAACAAGTTCAATCTGCAATGCAATTTGGGTTTGAAATATACCATCCAAGCTCTGACATGGCATAGGGAAGACCCAGAACACCAGCTCCAACCATGGCAGTGACATTGTGGAAAGCTGAGTACCACCATTTTGCATTCCTTTTAGAAGTAATTGGAAGCCACTCGTCAATTTTCCTCTCTCTCTCTGATTTTTCCTATTTTATCAATAAACAACAAATTAAATGAGCTTCTATTCCAAGCTTCATGTATAGTAATTGCATAAATTCACTCAAACAAGGGTCTGTACATGCTAAAAAAGTAGATGCAAGAAAGTGTGCAAAATTGTCAAGAAAAAAAATTCTTACGGGACACTATGGTTTATTCAACATAAAAAAAAAAAAAATACAAATTTTTCTTCCGAGTAAATGTATTCTTCTCTAACGAATACTAATTATTTGTTTGTTTTGGAATAATTTCTCATTTCTGAATTTATGGAGTCATTTTTGAAGAATACATATTTTCATTTCTAAACGAACGGTGAGAACATGGTTAATTATGATCAATAATTTTGAATAGTTAAATAATATACTATTAATAAATAATAAATAAATATAAAAAGATAAAAAAAATATGATTAAACAATTAAAAATTTATAAATAAGTATATTTAATAATTATTAAATTTAAGATTATTATTTAAATTCTATCCATTAATTTTAATTAAAGACTATGTTTCATTATATTTATTAGTAAATGTACGAGTTGAGATAAAAAATAATTTGTAAATATCTTTATTTCTTAATAATTTTAATATTTTTGAAGACAAAATCAGAGCTAATTAAAATTTCAAACAATACGAACGTGATAATTATCAAAATATTACAAGAGATTTTTTTTCTCATTCTTTATTTTTAATTTTACTTATTTATCTTATGTTCAGTTTGATTTTCAAATTAATCAAGTACTGATAAAAATCTTCATTGAAAAATATTTCTCAAATGCCTTGTACGACATTATTAGACCGTACTCGAATTGTGCAAACTAACCACTCCATCATCGTTAGTATCTAATTCAATGTTGGGTGTGCACGACAATTATGACTTTCGAGGGTTAAGAACACGCATGAATTTGACTTATTTAAGGAATTTTTCAATCTCGTCTTTTGTTACGGCATTAACACAAAAATAATAGTTTTCTCTGGGCATAGTCATAAATATTGACTTCCCCTAAGTCCATTTGGGTAGGTTATTCCGTGTTCCATAAATTTAACCTAAAGAAGACTTAGTTGAAAGCCTATGTTTATATTTATCTTCTTCAAGGATTATAATTTGACCAACGATCTTACTTATGACATAGTTTAGTTTCTGATCAAGTTTTTTAAAAATAGCACCTTTTAACAAATCCATAGATAATTATATTTTTGAAATAATAATTGGTGAATATGTGATAATTTAAAGCATACTATACTATTGTATTAGTGAGAGCAAAGATTCACTAAGTCAACTACTTGACCTAATTTGAGAGAGAACCTTCTAAAAATAATTCTTAGTTAGAAAAATTCAACAAAAATATTAAAAAACAATTTCATCTCTCTCTATATATAAAACATTTAGATAAAAAGTTTCAAATAATATATATAATATTTACGTAAAAAATTTCAAATGATGTTTTTTTTTTTTATATTTTTTCAGTAAGATATTAATTAATAATCTTTATTAGTTGGTTCAAATCCATGGATTTTACATAAATTATCTCAAAATTTATAAATATCTTATAAATTCAAGATATTAAATATTATATTTAACTACACACAATTTCTGGAATATCATCTAAATTCACACATAATAAAACAAACCCAAATTATTGTTAAGCAAATGATTTATATTCTATTAAAAATAAAAATATCTTTAATTCAATCTGACTTATGTTTAATTTATACATCTAGTTAATATGAGGTGTTAATATTTTCAACATAATAAAACCTCTTAATTTTCAACCATTTAAAAAAAAAAGTGAACATTAAAAAATTTTGTCATGACAAAACTAAGATTCCTATTTTATGAACTCAAGTTAAAACTTTAATCCAAGCATAAGTATAAGGAGGATGAAAGTTGGAAAAGCAGTGAGAGGAAACATGAACATATTGACATATGATGAAGCATGAAACTCCAACATTTGTTTTGCATATATGATATGATAAATTGGTGAATGAGAGAAAAACTCACAGAATTCTTGTGAGGAGTAGAGGTGTGACCATTTCTTGATTCAACTTCCAAACTTCCCATGCCCTGCTGCAGAATTAGATGCCCAGAAGTTTTGAAAAACAGAGAACAGAGAACAAAATAAACTGTGTTCTGTTTAGTTGGGTGAAGAAAAAAACAGAGGGTGGGGGGTCTCAGCTTTGAATACAGGATTATGTGGGTATTTATAGACTAACATGCTGGAAGTACAAAAGATAAAAAAAAGACAAATAATGATACTCCTATAAAATATTTACATTTTATTTTTTCTAAATCCATGACTTTAATTTTAAAAGAGAGACATATGGTCTATTGACATATATAAAACTCTGAGTAAACGAAAATAATTTATTTTTTAAATAAATTGAACAACGGTCAGGATTTAAATAAATAAGATTAAGAAGAAAAAATAAGAAATTTTCAAATATTTAATAATAATTTCAACAAAATCACATGACGTATTTATTCATTCTCGTATGTAATTGACACTGACTTTTTTATTTCAAAAATTCTTAATTTTTGTATTATTTTCAAGTTTGTCCACATTTTATTTCTTTTACTCTCGTGTTTTAATTAATTAATATTTTTATAATACTTTAAATGAATATGTTATATTTCTAATTCAATTGAAAAAAAGAAAAGAAAAGAGGATTCGAATAAAATTATGAATTTCTAAAATGGGAGGAGCTAATGTTTTTATTTTAAAATGAAGATTAAAATTGTATATTTGACAAAATAAACACATCATAATTCTATTTAACTCTAACAAAATTATGATAAAATTAAATTAAAAATTAGTACTAAGATTTACATTCATCAACTTATTTTCTCCACCATTCAATTCTCTCTAACCAACATAAACACCCCTTAGAGTGTCCATCATACAATTTTATAGGTAATTAAAGTGAATATATATATATATATATATATATATATATATATATATAATATTTATAGAAAATATTTATAGAAAATATTGGTGGTATATGTGAACACGTAGATTCCATATATTGATACATAGTTATTAATGGATTAATTAATTTTTATTCATCACACGATTAGTCTATTTTGAAGTCACTTTTTATAAGAAATTTTTGTGAATGAGTTCCTATTTCTGCAACCACATGTTAGTATATTGCAATTCAATCTTTACACGTAATACTATATACACTGAATTGAAATTAAGTGTTATATAGGTGTCTGAAAATTAAAAAATTTACCCATATCAGATATTAAAATACGTTTGAATTTTATGTGTACTTGAAAAAAAGAAAACACTTTATGTTTTTTTTTTAATCTTATTTTTCCACCTTATGTTATCTTTCTGGTCCTGCATAATAATAAGTGTGAATATTAAATGTTTTTTAATAAACTTGGCTTAAATTTATACATTTCACTTGGTGATAATGAAGATATAGAACCTAATACCTCCCAAATGCTTCTCAGATCAAGATTTAGAGGTTTTATATAAATATACTCAAATCATTTTAATAATTTTATTAAATCTTGTTCATTTTTTATTTACTTTTATATTTTACAGAAATTTTAAAGTTTGATATGATACATATTCAACTAACTAATTTATGGGTTGTTTAAATGTTTTTAAAATAATATTTTTCAATTAGTTTTTTAAAATTTAAAAAATAAAATTACTTGATAAATTTTTTTATAGCAATCTCACTTAAAATATTTTTTACTTTTATTAATAATATATATGTTTTTTAATCATTGTACAATATCATCCATTTTATCGTTATAAAATTATTTAAATCGTTTTTTATCATCATTTTTCAAATAATTTTTAAATTATTTTTATCAAACAAATTTTTTAAAATTTATTTCAAAATTATTGTAAAAAGTTAAAAAAAATTAAGTCCTCTTTAAAAATATTTAATTTTTATGAATAATATATATATATATATATATATATATATATATATATATATATATATATATATATATATATATATATATATATATATATATATATATATATATATATAGAAAGAGAGAGAATATTTTTTTAACATCTGCGTTCACGCGAATGAAAGTCGGAGAAAAAGAGTTTTTAGACGTGACGGACGTGAAGTTGTAATTCATTGGAAAGTTATACGAAATTTAAAAAGGGCAAACGTTGACTTTCAAGTCTACTTTTGCGATTGCTGTTTTGTTTCTTTTGACCCAAATTACTTGTTTATTAAAGTTAATAAATTATTCATACTTATAACCTACTCATTTTAAAGAAATTAACTAAATTTCGATTAATAAATGGTTTGAGTAATTAGCATAAAATTTCGAGTTCGATTTGTTGCTATTATATAGAAAAACATTTATTGTATTACACATAGTTATCTTTTATATCTAAGTTTGAATTCTTACATAATTTTATTTGCAATTTATTACCACTATAAATGACAATACAATAATTTATACTGTCAATTTAATTTGAAACATTTATCATAAGTTAAAGTTAACTTATATATAAAGTAATTTGTAGACATTTTTCATATGATGTCTATGTTTTTATTTTTTCATTTATATATAAATTAATTTAGTTTATATACAATTTTATTCTATATCCACTTTTTATTTTTCTCTTTTGTTAGTGTCCATCAAAAATATTATTTTTTCAAAAAAAATATACTAACCTTTTTTTTCCTTATTTGTATAGTTAATATATATTCAGTTTTAGTTTTATTGACGAAGAGGGAAGATATTTGAAAAATCTCTTTTTGATGATGTCAAATAATGGATAAGTAGTAAGAATAGTTAGTTTGTATAAAACCAAAATAATCTAAACTTTGAAAGTAAAACTAATCAATTATGTTAAAACTGAAACATTAATAATCGATTAGATAAAAGGTTAATCAATTATATGACTTAAAATTAAGTTTTCATAAGACACGCTAATAATCGAATATGTGGTCACTTAATTGATTATTTGTCAAAAATTTTGTTTTAACATAATGCACTAATAATTGTTTAGATAAAGGATTAATCGATTATATGACTTAAAATTAAATTTTCATAAGATGTGCTAATAATCATTATGTGAAAACTTAATCGATTATTTGCTAAAAATTTTGTTTTAACACAATGCGCTAATAATTGATTGTGTAATCACCTAATCGATTATCTGACTATTTTCAAACTTTCACTACACTCAGATAATTGATTAGATAAATTTGATAATCGATTATGTATGACAGTTACAACAATTTTCTTTCTATAAAAGGATGCAAACTTTCTTTAATTAATATCAACTTTCAAATACAAATTAAAGCAATTAAAAAGAACGTTTTGAGCATCAAGGAAATAACATAATTCTGCAAAAGATTTTAAAGATCAATTTCAAAGAAATGTTGTTTAGCTATAGGTGCATAATTCTGTAAATCCAAGGTGAATTTGTTTCATCTCTTTCTTTTCTATCTTGTTTTTAAGTTTTGATATATGTGAGACTAGCTGCATAAGTGTAACTTGAAAATTGTGAGGTAGAACATTTTCAAGTATTGTGATCTTGATTTGAGGTTGTTGTAAATCAAGATAATTTGATTAGGTTGTAATCTGTTTTAATGTGAAAAACTCCAAGCTAAGGTTGCTTGGTTAAAACTGGATGTAGATTCAAGAAGAATCGAACTAGTATAAATTTCTGAGTCTTTTATTCTTTTCTCTATCTTGGTATTCTTGTTTTTCTAAAAACTGTGATATTTCTTTTGTAATTGACTATCAGAGAAGGTTCTCTAATAATTGATTAGAAATTCAAAATATTTTTGAAAACCCAATTCATCTCCCTCTGTGAAAGTTTTGTCATTAACATTTTATTAACAATTAGTATTAGAGTTGGGTTATCAAAAGTTAATTGATTTTGATCCAAAAAGAATGACTAACATTGTTAGAAAAAGAGGCTGAGATCTAGAGGGGGTGAATTGATTTTTGAAAGATTTTCGCAATTTACATATTATCTATTTCAAATATTAAGAGTTCTGACCAATTCTTGAATCAAGAAAAACAAACAATTAAAATAAAGGCAGCGGAATTAAAGAGAGTAAGGTTTAGAGAAATACAACCAAGATTTATACTGGTTCACCAATCCTAGGGCTACGTCCAGTTCTCAGCCAAATTCCAGCTGAGTTCCACTAGATTGAATGTTTTACAGATTACAGAGTCCAATCACACACCCAATCTACCACAAGAATCAAAATTCCAATCCTTGTACCTAAACCTTTACCAAGAACCAACTTCCAGTTCTTGAACCAACCTGCAGCCAAATTCCAGCCATAGAAATTGTGCCTAACAATTCTAGGCACTTACAGTATAACAAGAATGAAAGAAAACGAAAGAGAAGAAACCAGAACAATCTAACTCAGATTATGAAGTCCCTGCAGTATGAGTTTCTTCACAAAAAATTGCAAAAATGCCTCAAGAAAGAACTTTCAAAAACACCACAGAACTTGCGCGATTCTTTCTTGAAAAACTTCACTTATGATTGTTTGATTGATTGGTCAAAGGTATATTTTAAAAGACTCAAGCAATCTTGTTTATATAGAGATTTGTCTAACTGCTAGTTTAATTAATTTGTTAAAACAATATTTTAATATGTTAAAAATCTTGAATTAATATGTTAAAACTTCTTTTAATCTGTTAAAATGTTCTTGATTATTTTCCAGATTTGTTTTAACTTATACGACGACGTTTCAATCGATTAAAACACTTTGTAAAAAATCCCTTAAGTTGTTTTAATCGATTAATTCACAATTTAATCGATTAAAATTCTGTCAAATATTTTCATAAAACTTTCTAAGTGATTTTAACTGATAACAACCAGTTTTTATCGATTAAAAAAGTTAGCAAAAATTTCTTTAAATTATTTTAATTGATTAATTTGATTTTACATCGATTAAGATTCCGACAGAACACCTTTCAAAATATTTCAAGTTATTTTAATCGATTGTTTCGAGTTTGTATCGATTAAAATACTGACGAACATCTTTCAAAACACTTCAAGTTATTTTAATCGATTGTTTCGAGTTTGTATCGATTAAAAT